TAAATGATTTGTGGGTTTTTTTTTTTACTCAGTAGTTTATTCGGAGGGTCGAAATATGTCCACCTGCTGTAGAACTTTCACTTGATAAAGATCGCTCTGGGCAGCATACAGCTCCGGTGCCGTGTGGGGACGCCTGGCTCAGGGCCCGGCTTGGCCACTTCTTGTGCAGCCGTGGGCCAGACACTTAACCTCAGAGCTGTCATCGGTATAATGGGGACCCCGGTGCTCGCTCTGCCCACCTCCTGGCAGTTGTGTGGCCCGGGTTCAGTATCGGCTGTGACAGCACTTCGTACACTGGAATGCTCTGGATGAATGGTAGGGATTATTATTAATCCCTCTCTGGCAGCGACCAGCTGGTCAGCAGTGCTCTGGCATGATGCCTCCATGTCAGCCACATGCGTCCTGCTCTGCCGTCTGGCCTCAGAGTCCCCGTACCTCAGGGCCTTCGTGTGCAGGACAACGCACACCTCCGGGAGACAAGGAGCAGACGGCTCCCCTGGCCACAAGCCCGTCTCTCCTCCTGGGCTTGAGATGCTGTGGGGTATGGAGTTTGGGAACCTGCACTCTGAGTTCCAATGTATTTACTCAACCAGGAGTGATGTCCTGAGCGCCAGCGAAGTGCCTGTGCTGGAAATACAGTAGCAAACAAGTCCCTGGCCTCACAGAGCTTCTATTTTAGTGGGGGGAGACAGGTAACAAACGTGTAAACGTGTGTGCATGTGCTCCCGCATGTGTGTGTGACCTTTCAAGGTAGGAAAGAAAGCGAGTCAGGCCCAGAGGAGGCAGGGGCAGGGCAAGGAGGCCAACATAGCACAGAGTAGGCAAGAAGGACGGCCAATGAGACGGGTCTCATCGGTCACCGTGGACGCTTGGGCCGTGACTCAGTGAGACAGAAGCCCTCGGAGGAGTGACAGCATCTGCTGACCTTGCCAAGGCCTCGGTGAAGGGTGTATGTGGAGGAGGGGCTTTGGGGCAAGGACCAGATGAAGAGACTGCGGCAGTCCTCAGTGGGGGAGGGGAGGGTAATGTGGATCAGGGTGCCAGCGGTGAAGGTGGTGGAAGCGAGCAGGTTCTGGACCCATTTTTGAAGTAGAGCCCGCAGGAGTTGCTGGTGGGTCGGTGGTGTGAGAAGAAGGAACATCATGGAACATCATGAAGGCTTCCAGCACTTGGAAGAATGGAGCCACTTCCCCCTGACAGGGAGACTGTGGAGAGATGGCGCTGGGCATGGAACCGGGAGCCCGGTGTTACGAGTGTTATGCTGGAGTTCAAGGAGCCTGTTGGGCCTCGAAGCAGAAATGCCAACGAGGCGGTTGGACAGTTTAGGGAGAGGAGGAGGGAGGGGCCAAAACTTCAGGAGCCATCACGGCCGTGAACGGTGTTCAAAGCAGGGAGGCTGAGGTCAGCGTAGACAGGAAGAGGCAGGAGACTGAGCCTGGTGGGGCGGCGGGACCCAACAGAGGATGGGGGGCCAGCCGCGAGCAGGGGAACCAAAAGGGTCGGCGTCCCGGGGCGGCCGATGGCAGTGGCTCCCGGAGGAGGGGTGAGCAGGGGGCAGTGCTGCTGAGAGGCTGAGCGGATGGGAACTGAGGAGCCACTCGGGACCAGGTGACGTGGAGATCTGCGATAGCTTGGCAACACTCTGGAGAGGTGGTGTGGATGAAAGGTGGGCTAGAGCGCCTCGCAGGAAGGGGAAGAGAGTGAAGTGGGGATGGCGGGTGTAGACAGCTCTTCTCAGGAGCTCACCTCTACGTGGGGGCATCGGGATGAGCTGGCGGGAGACGTGACGTGGCGGAGCAGCTGCTCTTAAGCTGGGGCACAGCCGCATGTGTGAGTGTGCTCAAGGGCAAGGGGCGGTCACTGCTCCGCCAGTCACTGGCAGTCGTGTCCTGTTTGGTGACGCGCTCACCATAGGGAGAGAGGACACACTGATGGAGCATGAGCTTTTCCACAGGCTGGGCTGGGCAAAGCTCACTTCCACCCTGGGTGCCGTGCGACCTCAGAGTGCGTGTCCTCCCCAGTAACGTGGGACCAGGGCCCTTACCACCCAGGATGTTTGACAGGAGTAAGGAAGGAATGCTCCTCATTTACCTGGAACCATGCTTAGCATGTAGTGGACACCCAACGGAACGGAAAACTACATCGGCCTGATTCTGGTCCTCCAGAAGTTTCCACAGTAAGGCAGATGATGACCTTTATACAATCTCACTGTATGCCAACCACACAGAGACAGCCGATTGTCAGGAAAGGCCAAATGTTTTCACCGTCCAGAGAACCAGGAAAAGTGCACGCAATTAGGAGCGAGGGCTGGTTGTCCAGGATGCAGGGGGGTGATGGCAGGGTGCTGGCTGTGACTGGCCGAGCCCGGGCGAGAAGTCTGCTTGAGATGAAGGGACGGCATCATGGGAGCATTAGCAGGGATGGGAGACAACCCAGCCGACGGGAGGGAGATACAGACCTGGAAGGAGCTGGTCTCTGGCACCCCAGGCCGCTAGCAGGGCTCTCGGCAAGGGTATCAAAGAAAGCCTGTGCTCAGCGTTGTTTGGGGAGGAGAGGGCACCACCAGCAGCCACGCGAGTTGCAGAGACACCCTCCCGGCCCCTGGGTGAAGTGTGGGGACCCCCTCACTTCCTGGTTGTGTGGCCGGAAGCAAGTCCTCTCCATTCCCAGCCTGTGCTTCCACAGGAGAGCCTGGGTCTCAGTGGCAGGGAAGACCGGCACCACCTCCTGAGCCCCCAACACTTGAGGTGGTGGCTGCTGAGGATGTGCTGGATGGCCCTCCTGGCTGGCAGTGGGAGAGGGCCAGGGAAACAGCTCCAGTGTTTCACGGGGAGGAAGGCAGAAACATTTAATCCCCAAACCAGTCAATGATCAACACATATCTGCTAAGCAGGGCTCTCTGCCAGGTACTGCTGGGCACGGCGTGGCTGTGGGTCTCCAGCCACAGGCAGCCAACCCCGCCCAGGACGAGAGGGCAAAGGCGGGGGTGGGGGTGGGGGTCTCGCCCAGGTGGGAGTCTTTTAGAAGAGCTTTCATTAGCCACATTTCTTCAGGCATGTTACGTTTTCCAAAAGTACTTTTACCTATGATTTGATCCCTGCGACCCTCCCCACCCCCGCCACGATGAACTAGACAGGGCCAGTGCTATTATCCCTATTTTATCTCAGAGGGGCTAAGGGACTTGCCTGTCACACAGCTTTCTGGTGGCAGAGGTAAAGCCAGAAGACTCGTAACCTAAGTGAAAGCGCTTAAGCAGGGACGTGTGGCACCCCAGGGCAGTTTCTAATTAGTTCCTGATGGAGGTTGAGTTGGGGCCCTGAGTGTTCCTGCTTTCCCCACAGGCCTGGGAGTCACTGGACTGCAGGCGTAGCAGGGGACCCCACCCAGGAGCAGGATCTGGATTCCAAAAGGCTGGAACCTTGGTGAGGGAAGGCCCTCAGGGTAGGAGAGAACATTCTGGTAGAGCAGACTTGAAACCTCAAATAACAAAGAGGAGGGTTACACAGAAAAGCTTCAGAGGGGAGGTGAGCCTCATTCTGGACCACAAAGTGGCTCTGGGTCCCCAGTACGGGGGGAGGGATGCCCTGGACGGAGGGGTGTATAGGCATCCCCGTATATCCGAGGCCTCAGCACCCCCAGACTTTGCTCTTGGAGACTGCTATGTGACCCTAAGTGGCTCACTTCCCCTCTTTGGCTCTCGGCCCCCTCATTGATCAGAGTCCTCCTCAGAGAGGCAGGGTGTGGGGTCCATGTGGCTCTAACGCACAGACCTGCTGCGTCCTCGCCCAGGGTAGGCTACCTCTCCACCTTGGCTCCTTGTCAGTGGAGGGCCTGCCTCCACTGGGGCGGAGAGGGCTGCCCTGAGGACTAGACGGTTCTGGGCGCAGAAAGGATGCTCACTTCATCCCCAGAAGTCTCTGCTCTGGGCTCCGGCGATGTCCTCC